ATCTGACCTTTACTTCGTTTCTACGCTCCCAGATCTGCCCCAGGCGGGCGAGGCGGCAAGAGAGGGCACGGCACGAAGCTCCCTCTGCGTTTCTTGAGGCAGAGAGTGGGGGGCCTGTGATGCACAGAGCAGGTGCAGCCGCTTCTGGGAGAAACCTGGTCAGGAAGAGCAGGATGGGTTCCATAAACCCTAAAACTCCCGACCCCCGGAGCGAGGGCTGATAGTGGGAAGTGACCGGCCATTCCCGAGCCTCTCTGACCCAGGAGGACCGTTGTTATACCCGTTTTACGGGTGTGGACAGTGGGCTCAGGGAGGGTAAGTAACTTGCCTCAAATGGCAGCCAACAAATAGCATTAAAAAGGGACTCGGCCCATTTGGAGGTGGGTCCCCATCATAAAAGAAGCCCGGCCTGGCCGGTGTGGCTCAGTGGTTGGGCATCGACCTATGAACTAGGAGGTCACGGTTCAATTCCGGTCAAGGACACAGACCCGGATTGTGGGCTCGATACCTGGTGTGGGGTGTGCAGGAGGCAGCCGATCCATGGTTCTCTCTCTCATCGTTGATGTTTCTACCCGTCTCTCCCTCTCCCTTCCTCTCTGACATCAATACAAACATTTAAAAAATAAAAGAGAGACACACGAATGCTCCTGAGAGCAGTGTCCCTGACGGCTGTGCGGGGGTGACGGAGGAAGGTCAGTTCTGATATGTTTTCAGAGGGAGAAGAGGGGACGTAGAGGTAAATTTCATAGGATGGTGAACAACTTCCAAGGGGCTCTTGAAGCAGGTGTTTCTGGGCAAGTATGTGCTGAGCTAAATTAGTAAAAATATTCTTGCAGAAGGATAATTGATGAGTCACAAAGTGATAGCAGCAATAATGGCGACCAGACGGCTGCCCCTAGGAAACGTGACGCCTGCGCTCAAACCTGACCCGGTTCCCGGTGGAGAACACCGCAGTCTGCCTGACGCTCGACCTTGTTGGCCTGACAGTGCCAGGCCCTGGCTGAGGCCACATGACAATTAATATTAATATTAATGATCAAGAATTGGCAGTCTGCCAGGTGTCGTCCAAGTCTCTGCCTATATCCATGTCTGTATCCACATCGATAGCCCATTTGTACCTGTATCTATACTTTTGATTTCATGCAGCTGGAAACCTAGTGTGGAGTAAAGAATTCACGTCTCTGATGCTCAGTGAGCAGGAAACAGGGATTGAAAAGAGCCTTTGATGTGTCTCAAAGCGGCGTGATGCTCTCATGAGAAGCTAGGCACCCAGACCTTTAACAAAAGTTGTTTGATATATTATTAACGTGGGTTGGCAGCCTTATAGCACTTACTTTATTTCTATAAATAAAACATTAATCTCAATTTGGATTTAAAATGAAAGTGCCCGAAGTCCTTTTGTGCATCAGTTAAATTTGGGGCAATATTTCATATAGAAAGTGTTTGCTTTGATAGGAGAGTAACAGGGAGACCGTTCTACGTTAAGATTTAAATGAAGAGAGTACACCCCAGGCCCAGGGCGCTGTCCCTTCACTGGCCTGGAGCCCAGGAGGCAGGGCTCTCTGTTCTCTGTGATTCGGAGGAGGCACGAGGGCAGCGTCAGCCACTGTGGGCCGAGCGCGCGTGTGCGCGCACACACACACACACCCCATTACCCCTTTTGTCCGACTTGTGGTGACGGAATGGAAGCTAAGCTTGATCATATTAAGCATTCATTGTTATTATTATTATTACTGGTTATTTCCTAGGCCCCCAGCTGTGGGATAAATGATTGATGTCTGATCCCTTTACTGGCATCTAGTTCCCGGGACAGGGAATATCGCGCCCATTTAGCAGAAGGGAAAACTGTGTCTCAAAAAGGTCATGCTGATTCTCCACGTTTACCATCTGAAGAGCTGACGAGCTTCCGTGCAGGCCTGTCCACTGCACGTCGCACTGACCGCTGTGCCCTCAGCGGTCAGAGCCTTCAGAGGCGAACGTCCCCAGCCAGGAACGTGTGTGCGTGAGCCTGGGCACGTCGCCACGGCCCTCACCCGCTGGCCTGTGAGTGTGTGTGTCCCTGAAGGACGGTCCCCGGCCACCAGCTCGGGCCAAACTGCCACAGGACCAGCTGCAGGGTCTGGGGGCCGTGCGGTCCTGTGGGCTCCTGGTCGGAGATGGTGAGGAGTTGCAGATGCTGTGGGCGGAGCATGCCACCAGCCTGGGCCCACCTGGCCCAAGGGCCCCGTAGACTGAACCGGCGGGAGACTCCGGGGCAGCTGCCCCCGCAGGACCTGCAGGTAGATGGGACAGAGTCTGAGCAGGTGGCCCTCAGGCTCCTGGCTGGGATGGGAAGGAGGTGGGCCGTCCCCTGAGCTGGCTCCCCCGGGCTCTCCTCTGTGTGGATTGGGTCTCCTGGCCCAGCCCCCGATTGTGCCTGGGATGGGGGCCCCGGTGGGGGGAGTCCGGCCAGACTGCCGTCCAGAACGGGCTCAGACCAGGTGTGCACACCTGGCCTGGTCTTGACGGAGTTTTCACCTCTCCGATGTAAAACAGGAAATAAGGGCACAGCAGCGAGGACTTCTTGGTGTTTGTTTTTATCTACAAAGTACGTTTATCCAACAAATGGACTCGCTTCTGGCCCAGATCACGCTTGTCTTGTGAATCGGGTGTTAAGTGTTCTCTCTGTCACGAGGGCGCTGGTGACACGATTCCAGGGTTTGGGGGAAACTGCTGGGGCTCGAGACGGGAAGCGTGTGTGCCGTGGGGGTCACGGGCCAGAGGGGAGGATGGCAGGGGTGCGGCAAGAGCCCCGGCGAGACACCCCCTGCCTCTGCACCAGAGGACGGTCCAGACGCCGCTCAGTGCCTCCGGCCGCGCGGGTCCAGCTACTGCGGAGCAGGGGGGATCCGCGTGGCAACCCCAGGGTCCCACTTCCTCAGTTCAGGGAGAAACGCAGCGAAGACGGCGGTTTAAGGAACAGAACAGCCGGCAGCTGCTCAGAGGCCCAGATGCCGCCCTGGGCACAGGGCAGAGGGTGCCGCGGTGGGTGCAACAAGTGAGCTCTATTTTTAGTGCCTTGACTAGTCCATCGCGTCTGCCCACGGGCAGCGGACATCTGCTGGGGAAACGCTCCTCTTCAGTCTCTCCTTCGTGTTTCGCCCTCAGCAGTCTCCTGGGCCCTGGGTGTCCCGCCAGCCCACGGCGCCCTTTCCAAAGGGAAGCCTAGGACTATTTCCTCAGCACATGACACTGTGACAAGGCGACTGGCCGATGCAGCCTAGAGCCCGTCGCGGCATCCAGTCAATATTTGGCAAATACATAAATTTTTTAAAAAAAATATGTTTTTATTGATTTCAGAGAGGAAGGGAGAGGGAGAGAGAAACATCCATGATGAGAATCAGGTAAATAAATAAGCGTGAATCAAATACACTTGCATCCAATTTTGTTACAAACCCGGGGGCTGCTTTTCTTTTTTTTAAGAAAAGGGAAGTTGGCAGGGGGTGGGGGCGGCTCCGCGTGGCTACTGTACAGGCCACCTTGGCTTCCGGCATCGCGACGGGCTCGCGGCTCTCAGGAGCCGGTCCAGCGCCGCCGGCCAAGGCCCCCCGAGCTCAGCCAAGTGTCCGGCAGCTGTGTCCCTGGGGCTGAGTCATCTCCCTCCTCCCTGCCGGCCGGCCTCTGACTCATCGTTCCGCTTTTAGCGTATTTGCCTATTTTTAAAACCAGTTGGAGAGGACAGCCACTGTTGGAGAGTAAACAGGCCACACATCACCGCGGGCGCAGCGGGCGGCTCCAGGCCCTGGCGCTGCGGGCGGCCGGGTGCCAGGGCGGCAGATGGCCCGGGAGGCACCCGGCTTGCCTCCTCACATCTGTCCTGGGTTTCCTCGTTGCCGCGGCCACTTCCTGCTTGGATTAATCCAACTGGATGCACTTTTGAAACTAAAGTCTGACTTTGCTCCTGCTTGTAAATGACCAATTCTGTATTTATTTCTCCGTCAACGAATCAGGCTTCCCTGGCGGCCCGAGGCTGGGCCTCCGCTTGCTGCGAGCTCGTCAGTGTGGTCACGCCGACGTGCCCTGCGCTGTGGCTGAACCAGGATATAGATTTCTGTCAGGGGCTTCGCCGATTCTGAGGCACACTGGGAATCTGCTATTTTCTTGGCTATAAAAGTGAATTCTTTTCTCCCCCAAAATGTTTGTTTTTACTGATTTTTCTGTAGTTTTAGAGCAGTAGTTCTCAACCTTTTGGCCCTTTAAATACAGCTCTTCATGTTGTGACCCAACCATAAAATTATTTTCGTTGCTACTTCATAACTGTCATGTTGCTACTGTTATGAATTGAAATGTAAACATCTGATCTGCAGGATGGTCTTAGGCGACCCCTGTGAAAGGGTCATTCGACCGCCAAAGGGGTCGCGACCCACAGGTTGAGAACCACTGTTTTAAAGAGAGAGGGAGAGGGAGAGAGAGAGAAAACATTGATGAAAGAGAATCATTGGTTGGCTGCCTCCTGCACGCCCCACCCGGGGGATGGAGCCCACAACCCTGGCATGAACCCTGACCGGGAATCAAACCGTGACCTCCTGGTTCATAGGTGGAGGCTCCACCACTCACTGAGCCACTCCGGCCGGGCTGTTCTTTTTTGTTAATCCTCATCAGAGGATATTTTTCCAATTAATTTTTTAGAGAGAGTGAAAGGGAGGGAGGAAAGGGAGAGAGAAAAACGTTGATATGAGAGAGACACATTGATTGGTGGATTCCCAGGGCCTGGCATCAAACCTGCAACCCAGGTAGGTGTGCTTGACCGGGAAGCAACCCTCCACCCCTCTGGCTGACACTCTAACCACTGAGCCACCAGCCAGGGCCAGAGCCTTTCTTCACCGGGGAACAACCAGAGGCGTTTGCTGTCCTCTGCATCCTGTCCGTCTCCACTGAGGGAGCGGCGAGTGGGGTATTGGTGCCGATGGCCCAGCCGCCGGGAGAGGAAGGGCCCAGAGTGAAAGTCTGATTTTCCTTCCAGATGGCGCCCCCCCGGAGGACCCCTCGCTGCTCTTCCCGGACCTAGACCAGCAGCTGCAGGTGAGGGCTCTCCCGCATCCCTCCTTCCTCCTCGCTCCAACACAGAGCTGGGCAGTGGCCTGGGAGGCAGACCGAGGGCCAGGCCCAGGCGCACGGCCTGCCTGTGACCCTCAGCACCAGCCGGTCGAGACGTGCAAAGGGCGGCTCCTGTGCTGGGGGAGAGGAGGGGCCCTGGGTCGGGAACGCCGTCCGCTCTCCTCTGTCTGGGCCACGCAGCGTCCGCTCCCCTCTGTCTGGGCCGCGC